TTGAGTTTGCAGATTTACCTAAAATGTTAAATTGGATGCTGTTAAGGCTGGGTCTTATGCATATTTACTCTTCTTCCTGTTTTTAATAATGCATCTGAAATCTCACTCAGGAGTAGTTTTCCCTTCCGTCTACCTGCCTGTTTTTTTTTTTTTTTTAACCTGCGCTTCAGGAGGTAGTATTTCTGACGTTTGCTCACTACTTGGTTTGGAAGTCTGAGAACAAGAAAACAAAGGTATTTCTGCATAGCATGTCTGTGCTTGGCAAGAATTGGCATTGTTGTAGGTAAAGAGGCTAAAAAATGAGTCAACATTTCATACTATTGTTGGTCACCATGGAAAATCAATGTGGGAAACTTCTGTGTCACTATTTGTTCTGTAAGTAGTTTTTAGTTACTGTACTGCAGTTTCCGGGGCCAACGTTCCTGTATCAGAATGTCACATTCAGGAATAGAGGGAGATTGAACTCTCCAGAACCAAGTATGAGAATAGGAAGTATGGCTGTAGGGTCACTGCTGGGGCTTATATGAAGGTATTCACACTATGTCCACCCACCCACCCTCTCCTTCCAACTCAGCACATGGGTTTGTTCACAGATTAACAATAAGTAGTACTATGGAGTCATTTTATGTGGAAAGTTAGAAAAAAACCTAACTAGTTTTAGCTGATGATTGGATGGAAGTTTTGACAATAACAAGACACGCTACCCTAATGACGTTTTTATGCATGTAAGTATGTATTTATTGCTGTTATGCAAAGAGAACAAGACTACCAGCAGGGAATGATGAACTTGCAAGGGAAGGGAAGTGTTGCAGTACAAATGCTACATGTCAGCCCTCATTTGTCTAACCACTCACAATTAAATAAAATTATAACAAAATACATGGGAATGGATGGAGTGATTGTGTTGAAACCCAAACAGGTGTGGCTAACTTTCTATGAGCTGTAGCTTCTACAAGTATATTGAATTTAGCTTTGATATGCCATCGTCTAGAATTTTTCTTCCAGGAAGCTGAAGTTGTCAGGAAGGGATGGCTATACTCTGCTGATGAGGTTATTCTAAAAGTAAAAACAAAAGGTTGAATAAGAAAATATTCCACTGAATGGCAGGAGCTAAAGATTGAGCCCGTACCCTTTCTTCACTATGAGACTCTTGCAGTTTGTAGCCTGGTTCCTCTTAACACGGTTTCCAGTTCTATGAACACTGTAGAGATGGGGCCATTTCTTAGATGAGAGAGATTTCATATATGTCATTTGATCAAGTGAAAGTATTTGCATTTATGAAGTCCTATGGGGTTTCAAAGATGCACAAGGCCGCATTACGTACTTAAGACTGTGTTTCAACTTTTTTGGACTCCTAGATGCCCGTCATTAGACTCATGGTCCGCCTTGGGAAGTGACAGCTCTTGGTTCTCACTTGTTTCTTGACTACACAAAAATAATGGAGCAATTCTTCTGTTACAAAGAACTCAGGAAGACCATAACAGGTCAGCATGTTTTTGACCCAATCTGAAATCTCTGGGTTTATCTTGTGACTCAAGTCGGTGTTTGAACATCTAGCAGTACTGATATTGCATATCATCCCATGGTACCCTTGAAAAGATCTTGCCATGGTACCTGGGTTAAGAATAACTGAATTATGCAATCCTACCTGATCCCTCCTCCTGCAAAAGACTGGTAATCAACTATTCCATCCCAGCAGGATGATAGATAGAGTTGACTGGGCTGGTCCAAGCAGGCTAGATATTTCCTTCCCCCATAAGTTGGGGATTTATAGAGATACTGGCTTGTATTATGAAAGCAGCAGCATCCTCCTTTGGCAATTCAGCTCCAGTGAAACAAAAAGATATGGTGTGCCTGTCTGGATGAGAACAGCGCACGGACTATATGAGTCTCATCTCAGCCTCTCTAAAAGCGGGGGCCAGATCCTACCTAAGGGAATAATAAATCGGGGAAATTGTGAACTCTAATTCACAGAATGTCCAGTTTCTTGCACAGGGTTTTCTCTGCACAGAGGATGTTTCCAGCCTCCCAGCTGAGGTTCTCTGGATAATTCAGCAGAACCCGTGCTGTCCTCTGTAACAGCACTGCTCAAGAATCTCTGTAAATGCAATAATCTGAACCAGCCTTCTACTATAACAACTTAATCCACTATAGAAGCAGCTCTACTGGGAGTGGGAGATTCACTGTTGCTCACATGTAGCTGGAAGTAGTCAGACTTCATCTTAGACAAGAAAATGGGGGGAGGTTAGCCTTCCTGCCAATACCTAGCTGGTGAATTGGTGGAGGGGTTGCTTGACATCTGATGGTCCTGTCCAATACGAGTATTCAGGTTAGGGGAATGGAGAAGTGCTCTGGGTACATATTGTTCTTCCATGGGCAAGACATGAGGACTTACAGGTAAAAAAGGAAAGGAAGTGGGGAATAGCAGCACAGGGGAAATAGGAGGAATTCACTTACGGGGTAGTTCTGTGTTTGGCTCTGTACTTGGTTCTACACTTGGGTTTCTGGTTGACTCTGTAATTGGATCTGGGCTGGGTTCTCCACTGGTCTCCTCACTTTCTTCAATGCAGGGATCTCCACTGAGCTCCTCATTTTCTTCATGGTTGGGCTCAGTGCTTGGTTCCACACTTGACTTAGAGCTTGGCTCTGTGGTTGACACTGTACTGGGCTCCGTGTGGGGCACCGTGCTGGGCTCTGTGGCTGGCGCCGTGCGGGGCCCTGTGCCGGGCTCCGTGTGGGGTTCTGTGGCTGGCCCCGTGCTCTGTGCTTCTATGCTTGATCCTGTAGATAGAGGGGTAACAAATGCCTCTGGAAAAAAAAAAAAAAAAAAGAAGGACTGGGTTACTTACAGTGGTACCTGCACATGGATTTAAACTTGTAAGCTACCAAATTTGAAATTTGTGGCCCGAGATTCCAGGTACAAGTTTTCTCGTGGAAAATAACTATGACAACTAGAGAAAGAAAGA